AGTTCCGCCTATGAACAGTCTATTGAAGGCACATAGGTTTGCAAATCTCTCACCATTTTCGTTCCTTTCTCCCAGTCCGTGTCGTCCCATGTTGTCTTCATATCCAGTGTTGTCTGTTCCAACCTTGACATTGAAATCTCCCATCAGAATGGTCAGGTCCTTTGTTGAGCACTTCTCGACGATTGACTGCAGCCTATCGTAGAATTGATCTTTAGCGTCTTCATTGTAGTCGTTGGTAGGCGCATAGCATTGGATGATGTTCATTGAAATGCCCTCTTTCTTTGTTTTGAAGGAGGCTTTGATGACTCTTGGTCCATGAGATTCCCATCCTATAAGTGCATTTTGTGCTTGTTTGGACAGCATCAATGCAACTCCTTGTGTATGTGGAGCATTTCCTTCATCATGGCCGGAGTATAACAGGAGCTCTCCTGAAGCTAGTCGCTGTTGTCCAACTTGCGTCCAATGTGTTTCACTGATCCCTAGTACCTCTAGGTTGTATCTCCTTATTTCTGCAGCAATTTGGAAGGCTCTCTCGGTGTCCCACATTCTATGAGTATTCAATGTACCTAAATAAGTGATTGCTCTGGTTGTCAGAAGGGGCATCGGCCTCGTAACTTCCTAAGGAATTCGGCTTTCATCATGAATCGTCATAGTTCTTCTAAATGAAGAACGTCTGATTACCAGGTCAGAGTTTAAAAGTTTCGAATAATTTTTTCTGGTTAGCGTTTTTTAGCTAGTTAGTTTTCTACGGGATGAGGTCGCTAAACCCATGCCCAACGCTCCCCCTTCATCCGAGCTTAGGACCGGTAGTAGCCTCAAGGGGGGACTCCAGGCTGAGTTATATATATATATATATATATATATATATATATGTATATATATAGTTATCACAATTGATTGATCACTGGGTGGTGATCAATCTCATGCTTGTCTAGTCCTTATTAGTGCAGATCGAATGCTATCGATCATGTTGCAATGTGGCCACCAGTCTAGGTGACTCGACACTGCAAGCACTATGTATTGAGATTAGATGGTGGTTGGAGGTAGTCAACAGGAAACCCTGGACCTGGGTTTCGTGCTACTTGGCACTCGTCAGCAAGGTGTACCTGTAATGTTGAGGGAACTGGTGCTCCCTGGCGGATTCGATCTCGTGTCACCCAGCTTCACAGTCGGAGACGTTACCACTGAGCTATCCGAGCCGTGACTAACCTCCTGTAGGACTGAGATGTAACCACAATTGATTGATCAAATTCATAAAGGGAACCGATTGCATGAAATAAACATTTAACTAATTTCCAGCTTGTGTAATAAATGAACACAATCATGCATTGAATACTTATTACAATGTAATCATCGTCCATAATCAACAACAGATTTGTCATCCGAATATGGTTTCTGATTTTAAAAACAAAACAAAAAAAACGAATATTTGATTCCATGAACTATGGATCATAGTTCTTTATAATACAAGGTTGAATAATATGAACACGAATAAAGTGAGCTACGTTGTTTCCTCATTTGTATTGACAGTTCGAAATTTCTAACGTAATAAATACAAGCAACTTATGATGACATTTTATGAATACGATGTCATTTCAAACTAATAACCATATGAACTATGGAATATCGGTTGAAACCAACATGATTGTTCGTTTTATACACTAAACACTTCATTGCATTTTGACTTACTTTTATCCTACTAGCTATTCCATTAAATCTTATTGATAAACATAACTGTCTAAGTAGGTTTCCTTACGTTTAAAAATGAGAATACTATCAAGCTCTTTGAGATCAATAATTAATGAATGAGCATCACAAATGATTACGCAAACTTCATGTGTAATCAAAGTTACAACATCATTAAGAGAACTCTATTGTAACCTACGTTATACACGTATTTTCAACGAATGCCATTATCCTAGTTTTCGATGATATTTAATTGATAATTGATGGAATATGTGAAAACACTGCAATCTCATTCATTGCTTCACAGATTTTATTCGTAATGTAAACCGCAAATTCAGCGATTGTCATTCATGAACAAGACTTGAGGATAAAGTTGAAAATTTGTATAACAGTCTAGAACATGTCGCATCTGAAGTTACAGTTTCTATTGTACATCTATCTGTTAATCGTAATGTATTGGCTGTTTGGTGGGATACAATAGTGAGGTTACGTTTATGGTAATACATACAAGATTAAGTTGAATAATATCTATTCATTGGAAGTCCAGAACACCGATAACTCTCTACAACTGAAACTAACATTCAAATAAAGTTTACAAACAAAAATGTGGTTGAAAACTGTATTTCAACCAATAATAGAACAGTTCAATGCTAGATTCAATGTTATTTATCAAAGTTACTGTATGATAAATAATGTGAAACCGAAATAAATTTAGAAAGTAATGAATTCACTCTTTATGACAATAACAACTTAAAAGTCTGTTGCATAATCAAATCACTATCTTCACATCATGATGGAAGATCGAGGAAAATTTGGTCTGGCTCACAATAAGTATTTTCATCAATATAAACGTGGTGTAATCAGGGATATTTTAGCAAATTGACACAGTAACTATTGTAATTAAATTGTCATTTGAACATCACATACAGAAATAAACACGGAATCCATCATAGCTTACTAAGATGACGGGAATGACGCACATTCTACCAATAATGTGTCAATCTAATCTGTTTTCACAATGAATAGAGGAAATTTCAAATTGAGACATGGATTATTTTTGGTCTACAAACCATCTATCCGAATAGTAAAATGTTCGAAAGTGTTGTGCTTGCAATTCACCAGGCAAATTATCTGAAACGTTTAGTGTTATTTACTACGAAAACGGATGTTTCATCTAATCACTCAGTTAATTATGTAGTTCTCTAGACAGTTCAATGACAATGAGATTTTTAGTAGAAAATGAATCCATCCTATTCACTGCTTTTCATCATCTGTAAACAGCCTAAACATACGAGGTGCAATAAGATAATGAACAAATATGTGACTTACTTCGCATAGTCAAGTTAATATCGGTGTATGAAACGGGTCTGGCGATCACAGCAAGAGTAAGTGTACAGACGAAAGAATTAATAAATAGAGATTTTGTTAGGTGGTGATCTTCATGAAGTAATATTAGTTAGGATAGGATGATCATGGAAATGCGAGAAATATCAACAATCATAGAAATGATACACTTACAAACTTTAATAAGCATACATCTTATGAGTGATTCGGTTGTGTAACCACCTCAGTGTTACAATATATGATGGCACGAACATTACAAGAGAATATAACATTCTGCTGTAATAGAAATAGAATTGCACATTGATGATGAATAATGGTTTAGATGCAATATAATTGACAAAACGAACAATAAACAAACAAATATCACTTCAACAACACTTGAAATGAAACACAGAAAATTATTGATTTTTACAAGAGGCGTACTATTAAACAACACTATCAATGATGTCCAAAGTTGTGTGATGTTGAAGTATATGCAACGACATATCAATTAAACAATAACACTCATTTTGAGTAAGCAACAATTTAGTTGGAGTTGACAGAACTCCATTGACTCATGAAGCATAAATGTGATAACATTGGAAATGGTAAATCATTAGTCTCATTGAAGTCACCATAGAAGTGTGAAGAGAGTGTGGAAGAAGGATTAACATAATTGCAACAATGGTATTACTACAGGTCATCTGCTAACATTTGATCAGGATGCGTGAGTGCAGTAAAACACGATAGTGATCGAGATATTTCTGATGAATGAAATGAAATACACCATACAAAATGCCTGATTACATTAGACATAAATGAACTCAATGATCAGATCATTGTGAAATGTCAAATATTATCTGATGAGTGTGGACTGTTCAGTACTGATCACTTACTGGAAATTCTGATTTCGTTGAGAGAATAATGGAATGAGTGAAGATATGAAACCAACTACATAATCTAGAGGTGAGTATATTGTGATGTCAATCTGTGTAGTACACCACTATAGATAGATAGATGATTGTGTGTATAGATAGATAGATAGATGTGTGGATAGATATTTTGATCACCAAGCGTAATTAAACTCAATATTGTGAAAGTACGTTAGATTAATTCACAAACAATGTGATCGATGCATTGTTCATGAAGACAAATGTCAATAATCGGTTGTATGTGACGGACGCAATGGATCACAATAGACAGACATTAAATCTAATGTGTTTATTTTTCAATAGGTTCACACAACTCATTCAATGTCTATGTATAGAGAATTTCAATCGGAACACAAGATAATATGCGGTATGTGAGTGGCGTTCGGTTTGAGTGATTGACTGACCTAGAAGAGGGTAATTCTTGTGAATATTCTAAATATTTTGATAGCTAATGTACAAAAAATTTCACACATATTAATTATTTATCTTTTATTCGCATTACTTAACAGAAATAGATGTATATATATATATAAGTAAAACATTTCATAATGTGAAATCAAGAAACGACTTCAGTAAAAATGCGATCAAATTTTCTGTGTCTTTCATCTATATTATCCATTATATTGTTCTTTTTTAAAAGTGCATCGTGTAACCAATATTTGGATTCGAATAGACGAGAAATACTCGAACTGCATACAAAATACAGACAGGATTTGGTTGATTGTAAAGTTGATGGACAACCTCCAGCTAAATATATGTCACCATTGGTAAATCACTCACTATTCAATAATTTCTTCAAATCATATACGTAACGCTTATTTGTAGAAATGGAATTACAATCTGGCTGCACAAGCACAAAAATTGGCGAACAAATGCATCTTGCAACACGACAAACGTCATTCGGATGAATTCTCTTGGGTTGGACAAAATATTGCTCTCCATCCAACCATTAAGTCGTAAGCTCATTTCTATTCAATTCAATGTTTTCTGATTCAGAGGAGTAGATGCTTGGTTCAATGAGCACAAATTATACGACTACAATCAAAACAACTGCATGAAATGTTTGCATTACACACAAGTAAGTCCATTCTCATCCACTTCAACATAGTTCAACATACCCACAGTCATTTGCCACTCAACATTCACACCTATTATAATGCACCACGAATGTGTGATAACAATCAAGTGGTTTCACTTTTCTACAGGAGTGACTGAAAAACACATGTGAATACACGTAATCCGATCATTGCAGTTATGCACACAGGTATCCACAACACTTGATCATATTTGAGTATGTGTGTTTTGTTGAGAGTTGAGGTGATTCGGTGGAAAACAACAGATAGGAAATTTGTCTCTGACCAGCATGTACTAAGACTGACGAGTGCATTCAAATCCTAATCAATCTGTCAACACTAGTGTCATCACTAGTGTGAACACACAAACACAATATTGCAATTTACTCAACAGAAATTCATTGTGTATAGATGGAACATGACGATGTTGTGATGGGTGAAATGATTTCGACTGTTGGTTGACATGAGACAGAATGAATGGGAGAGTGAGAGAGAGT